TATAAAAATATAAAAATATAAAAATATAAAAATATAAAAATATAAAAATATAAAGAACAGTCCTGTAAAAATATTTTATAATTTATGATGTATTAAATTTATTAAATTTATTTATTATTTATATATTTTTGAATATAACATTTGAGTAACAATACCAATGAAAAAGAATGAGAACACTAAAATAACAGCAAAGGCATTGAAATCAAATTTAACTTCTCCATTCTCTACTATAATTTTACTTGTAAGATCTAAAGAATCACTGTTAAAAAATATTCTTAATGAGTCTACAATGTAAAATGATCCAAAGAATGAAAATATTGCTATGAATACATAATTTGCTATGCTCCTAATCAGATAGAATGACACTGCAAAAATAATTGCTCCAATAAATATATTTATAAAAATTGATTCTAAGTTTAAAACTCTCTTAATTTTTTCAGAGACAATGGTAAATGTAAATCTTGAAATGTACAAACTTAAAACAATCTTACTTAAAAAGAGAGCAAGATGAAAAAAGTAACCAAAAACTAAGGAAAGAACCAGTATAAACACAATAATTACCTTCTCCAATTTAAAAACTATAGTTTTAATAAAATTATAAATTTGCTCAGATCCAACTTTAAAAATCTGTTTATTATTTTCATAGGAACCATTAAAGAAGTCTAAAACATCAACAAATGATCCCATCATTACTGAAAAGAATAGGATTGCTGTTGAACTCTTTTTGTGCATGATTCCTATAAATGTAATCTTAGAGAAAAGAATAAAGAGTGCTATCAAAAGAATATACTTTCCTATTCCATCCTTTGTAAGTTCAAATATATTATTCTGTAAGTATTTGATAAACTTTGTGCTTGGTAAGCATGCAAATAATATCTGTTTAATCATGGGAATTTAAATTTTTTATATTTTAAATATAAAATTTGTTTTAAATTTTAATCATATCTATTTTTGATTATATTAAAAATATTATCTTTTTAGAATAAATTGAATATTAAATGAATATTAATTGAATATTTTTATAAGATAATCAATTCAGATGCAATAATTCATTTTATAAAAAAATCTGATACTTAATATCTGATTGAATACCAAATATTCTTATAAAATAATTTAATTTAACAATAAAAGGAGAAATATAAATTAAAAATTAAAAACCAAATATATCCTTTTTCTATTAAATTAAAAAACATTATTTCAAAAATAAAATATGCCCCTGAAGGGACTCGAACCCTCGACATCGGCATATCTTAGCTTTCACTAATAGGCATATGCAAGCATATAAGTACCGCGCTCTAACCATCTGAGCTACAGGGGCTAAAAAAATGAAAAATAAAAAATCATTAATTTTATTAAAATACAATAAAATACATTATAATTCTTTTAAGTAATCAAAATATGCTTATTGGTTAAAATTAAGGAGTTATATCCTTTTCTTGATTTAAATTTTCATCCAATAGTTAAAACAAATGATGTCTTATTATTATTCGTTGGTTATAAAATTATCATTTTTTAAAAGTTTAACTGGATTACAACCAAAGAATGAGTTGTTTGTCAAACTTTTTTAGTTCTATATTTAGATCATGCAGAAGGGAGAAAGAAGAGGAAACAGACACATCACCAGTGAACTATCTTTCTGAGATCTCTAAATTAGAAGAGGAAACTAAAGAGAGAGAAAAGAACAGAAAGAAAAAGAAGAATTCCGAGGAGAAAAAGAAAAAAATAAAGAAAACTGTTGAAGTGAATTCAGAGGAAATAGAAGCAAAGAATAAAAAGAAATCAAAAAAATCTTCAAAGAAAAAGGAGGAACCTAAGGAAGAAAAGATTAAAAAAACAGTAGTAAGTAAAACAAAAAATAAAACAATTCCCTCCATAGAAGATTCTTTTTTTGGAAGTGCAGAAGATCATAATTATACACCATTTCAAAATAAGAAATTATATTTAGATCAAGAGATACACCTAAAAGAAAAAAATAAATACAATTCAGGATTCACTGACTATTCCTATATAATTGATAAATATATTGTAAATCCTTATGATAAAATAGATCACAATCATTTACAATCTAAAGAAATATCAGTAATGCTAAAAAATAAAATGGAAGAATACATAAAAAATAATAAGAAATAGAAATAATTAATAAATTAAGCTTATTGGTTAAATGAAATAATTTAAATAAAAATTTGTTGTTTTAAAAATAAAGTTTTTTAATTATTTGTATATTTAATAGAATTAACAAATAAAAATAGAATCAACAAAGTAAAATAAATTCAAATTTTTAATTTTTTAATTGAAAATGTTTTAAATTATATAAAATATTTATTTATGGATCTCAATTATTTTAATAATTCAATATATAAATTTTCAGTGTTGTAAAAAAAGATTAAAAACATTAATTTCTTAAATATTTTTTCATATTTTTAAATTAAGTGTAAAGAAACATTAATGAGTGTGTAAGTATAATTTCTCATAAATATAATTATAAATATATTCCTCAAAAAGAAACCTGAAATCATAAGTATAGGATACTTTGTAAATGTAAAAATGAATGAAAAATATGTGTATTTACACGAGATGAGAAAAACATGAATCAGGAGAAATCAAAAGTAATTGCTTGGTTGATCAGACAAATAACATTGGCAAGAAAAGGGTCTTAGGTCTTAAACAATTTAAAAAAGAAAATTAAAAAGCCCATTGAACCATGGGTAAAATTATTTGAACAAAGTAGTAATTACCAAAAACATATTAAATATAATAAAAACTATTTGTATATAGAATCTTCTATGTCGGATACTTGACAAATTTATTATTGTATAAATAAGATATCAGAACATAGTTCA